TTTGTAAAGAATTTATTGAAGTGCTGTTTGACAGTCTCTAAAAAAGGAACTCCTGGTCATTCAGAGAATTTGAAGTGACCTAAAGAGATGAAGATCCAAGGCACACTATTGAATAAGTCTCTGTGTGATACTCATCAAAATGTGGGGTCAAGCATTGTCATGGTTCAAGACATCTTGACTATTGCTCATTTCTGGGCACTTTGCTTAGATTTATGCTTTTAAAACTGTCATTTGGGAACAGTATTTTTCCAAAGGCAAAACTTCGTAATGTAAAATTCCTCTGTAGTCCTACCATATACAAAACATAACTTTTTTGGGATATAGCCTGCTTCTCAATTGTTACTAAAGGTAGTTCAGTTGGCTTAAAACATTTTTTTTTGTAACATTATTATATAATATTTGCTTCTTATCTTCAGTAATGTTATTTCAAAAGTAGAGTTTTTTTATTTCACTTAATGAAAAATCACATGCCAAAGTTTGAGAGAGCATATTTTGCTCTGGTAAAGTATGAGGTTCCCTACGATACAGCATCACAGCTTACATACTTATCTTCTTGAAATGATCATGCTGTACATCTTGCAATATATCTGTCTTATAGTTCGTAAACTGTATCAAGTGGATTTTCTGAAACAGCTTGTTTTAATTGGTCTGTGTTAACACTAAGGATGGTCATCCACAGTGGACATCATCTTCAAAACTGAAGTGTCCACGTTTTTAAGCTTCTCAAACCAACACCAAAATTTTCCTTCAGGAATAGCACAAATTTTACAATCACTCTGACAAGTATTTTTGTCTTTTTAGTAAAAGAGCATAACATGATAAACTTTTGAGTTCTCCAACCTTAACATTGTACTGAAAAAAAAAGATATGCCACAATACATACTAGAATTAGAAAATGTAAGCATAAAAAATCATATTTATCTACGAGGGCCATCCAGGAAGTAGATTATGTTTCCGTCTGTGTCCGCTAGGGGCGGGGCTAGCGCGGCCATCTTGGGGTCAGAGCGTTGCGCAGCTCAGTCTGCATCTAGCCGTGCTAGTGAGAGGTTCGTGCTGTGCTCCGTTCAGATACTGTGACGGTTTGAAATGTCTGCGTTAATTGAAAATCCCGCGAGCTGCGAGGTGCGCTCAGTAATAAGGTTTCTGACTGCAAAAAACTGTAAACCGATAGAAATCTATCGGCAGCTTTGTGAAGTGTATGGGGACAACATTATCACTGAAAGTGGAGTGCGTCAGTGGGTCGTAAGATTTCAAAATGGCCGAACCAATGTTCACGACGAAGATCGAAGTGGGAGACCCAGCACAGTGACCGCCGAACTTCTCGAAAAAGTCGATGCTAAAGTCCGTGAAAATCGAAATTTCACAATAACGGAACTTTCTTTGAGTTTTCCACAAATTTCGCGAAGTTTGTTGCACGAAATCATCAGCGAAAAGCTTGGTTACCACAAGTTTTGTGCAAGATGGATTCCAAAAATCTTGACAGAGGACCACAAAAATCAGCGAATGGCTGCAGCGTTTGAACTTTTTGGACGCTTACCATAAGGATGGTGACTCTTTACTCGATCGCATCGTTACTGGTGACGAAACATGGGTGAAACATGTGAACTGTGAAACGAAATTGCAATCAATGCAGTGGGGGCACACAAGTTCTCCCCAAAAACCCAAGAAATGCATGCAAACAATGTCGGCAAGGAAGATGATGGCGACTGTTTTTTGGGACAGAAAAGGTGTAATTTTGGTGGACTTCCTGGAAAGAGGCACTACAATAAACTCTCAAAGGTATTGCCAAACTCTCCAAAAACTCAGAAGAGCAATTCAAAACAAGCGCAGAGGAATGTTGAGCTCTAAGATCTGTTGATTCACGACAAGCCCGGCCCCACACGGCAAATGTCACTCGTAAAGTTCTTGAATCTTTTAAGTGGGAGTTTGTTTCCTCATCCGCCGTACAGTCCCGACCTGGCACCAAGCGACTTCCACCTATTCCCAGCAATGAAGAAGTGGCTGGCTATGCAGCGTTTTGATGACGACGCACAGCTGCAAGAAGAGGTAACGAAGTGGTTGAAGGCGCAGGCGGCCGAATTTTTCGACGAAGGAATTTCCAAGCTCGTACATCGCTACGATAAATGCCTTAATTTGTATGGTGACTATGTAGAAAAGTAGTATTTGAGTGTGGCTTTCATCTGTATATAATAAAATTTGTTTCCTATACTTTGTTTATTTTTTTATTCCAAAACGTAATCTACTTTCTGGATAGCCCTCGTATATGCTTCAATCCTTCTGCAGAATGTGCACCAACAGCCGAGCGGTAAATGTAACATTTCACCAAACATTGGTAGTTCATCTTAAGTTTGATTCCAGGTGACAGGCTGGCTGCACGGCCATTTTCATGGTTTTCCTCATCTGTATACGAGCCAGTTTCCCATAGAAAGCCCTCTGCAAGGACATCCTTCTTCAAGGCAGATAGCCCTAGCATATTTTGCCATAATGAAATAAACCAAGCCTTCTGCAAAACTTTCTAGACTACCCAATATCTTCCTGAAAGAAAGAAACTTGGTTATAAACAGCATTAAAGAATGGTATTTGCATATGAGCCTTAAATAATGTCCTTGATTTAAAACTAATATAAAAAACTGGGAACTTTTATTGTATAATATTTATATATTCCAGGTTATGTACAGTTAAACTGTGAATATGTATGGATAAAAACATCATCTTCTGTCTTTGCTGTTATCCCAGGCATTTATTCCCTTTTACTGCTACTACTACTATTTGAAATTTTCTGTAAATAGGTATTTTTAATGATGGTTTGTGACAGTAATATTTCCTTCATTTTACAATATTTTTGGGGTGGTAGCTAAGCCCTAGTTAACTAACCTGCCTTCGGTTGATCATACATAATTTTGTTCTTTATTGTTGTGTTTATTTCTTCAAAATATGTTGCTATGTGTAGATTAAATTCTGATTTTTCTAAAAAGTGATTTTTTTTTTTTTTTTTTTTTTTTTTTTTTTTTTTTTTTTTTTTGGTTTGTTTGTACTTACAAGTAATTTAAGAATAAATGTAAAAAATATCTTTGGATTAAGCCTTGTTTTTAAAGGATGGTTGTGCAGATCTAAAATGATCTTCAAGGCCGAAATTTCTACATTTAAACTTCTCAAAGCAGTATTAAAATGGGTCATCAGAAACAGCATTTTGCTCATATACAGCACAAGCTGTCTGACATTTTTTTTTTTTTTTTTTTTTTTTTTTTTTTCCAAAATAAAAATGCATAATATGAAAATGAACTTTTGGATTTACCATCCTTAGCACTGTACTGAAAATAACATATATATATGCCATAATACATGCAAAAATTGTGCAGCATGAGCAGAAAAAAAAAAAAAAATATTTACCCAGATGCTTCAATGAAGATCACTCATTATCAGCAGTAACAAAATAAGAAGAAAATGTGCCTCAGTTTTGAAGAGGGGGAGATTGGAAAATTTCTGGATGAACCAATATGTTATCCATCTTAGGAAATATTTGTACTGTTGACTGGGAATTTTGTGCTCGTTATTTGCTTAAGTCATCAGACTATTATTTAAATTTGTTCTGGTATTTGAACTCTGAGCTGCCATTACATGATATCCCAAATGGGCTCTCTCGGGGTAAGATCTGGTAAGTTAGGTAGTCAGGACATTAACTAAAATTCATCATTCTGAAAAAATGCAGAAATTCTAGTAAAAAAAAAAATTGTAAATACAAAAAATATACTGATTTTTATGCATTTAGAAGTAAGTATGGCTGCATGAAATAATAATTGTATTGGAAATTTAGTGGAGCCTGAAGAAGTTGTTCATTATGAGCTAATTTTGCTTTAGTGGAGTTTGAATAGTTCAGTAAATTTGCATTGTATTATTGAGGAATTATAAACAACTGTTTAATTGTAATGTATTATTATAACTCCTTATGAAAGCATCATTATTTTGTTTGCAGTTAAAGTGTAATACAGTCAAAAGTCGTTAATTCGGACACCCATAATCCAGAATGATCTATAATCCGGACCTCAAAGCTAAAAACTTTCTGCGCATGTGCCGCGTTGACACATGCACATAGGCATTTACGCGTGCGCGCAAGTGCAGAATACGTTTTCATGTGCATGTATAACGGACGGTATAAGCTAAAATTATACAATTATCTATTTCAGTTAATGTTGATGCTTGCGTTATTCCTTAATCTTCGAATTGGATGCAGCTTATTATTTTTTGCAGACTGTAAAGAGCAATTTTATAAAAGTCTTTCGATTATGTCAATTTCCGATTCTGGAGCTCCCAAAGGATCTACAAAACGAAAGTATGTCTCAATGTACGTCAAACAAAAAGTGGAATTGCTGCAAAAAATGGATAAAGACATGAAGAAGGTGACAGAGAGGTTAGTGAAAACGAAAAAAATTTCGATTGACAAGTTAGTCGATATTCTCGGCACAGCAATTACGGGACTTGAACAGCGGAGCTTTTTAACTGAACAAGAAATTATGTCTTTATAGAATTAAAGAGAAAGTATTATCACATAAAACAAAACAACTTACATTGAAAGAAATGTTTAATAAAAGTAAACAAATAAATATTAAGGTTCTTTTTTTGTAAATTTTGATACCCTTTAGATCATAATTGTTCTTTATTTCCTAAAATACGGTTTCATATTTTTAATTTTAGAATTTGTGCATGCCATCTTACGAGATTTAAACTGATGATCTATAATCCGGAATCGCCGAAGTCCCGACGAGTCCGGATTAACGACTTTTGACTGTATTTTGCTAGGGCTATCATCTTAGAGTTAAAAATATTTCCATTTACTAGATGCATATTTATTTCTCATTATTTGAATGTGTAATGTGTTTGTTTCAGATTGTTAAAAATATTATGTTACACTTTCATATGGATAAATTTTCAGTCTATTCCTCATGTCCCCCCCCTTAACTTTCAAGATATGTTTGTAAGTGACTAAATACTTTCATTTTCAGGTGTTTGGAATGAAAACTATGTAGCTCGAAAATCATCTTCATTTAAACGGTGTCAAAAAGATGTGAAGATTTTGAGATATGGCTGTACTCTTTGTTCATATAGCACTGATCGTCAGACTGATTTAAAGCGACATTCTGTAACGCATACAGAAGAAAGACAGTTTATGTGTTTCACATGTCAGAAAACATTCAAGCATAAACAAAGTTTGGTTAATCACTGTCGCCTCTCTGCACATATTCTATAAATTACTGACAAAGGTCTCATTATTCCATGGATAGTCATCCATGTTGTGTTTTTAATTTGTATATATATGATCAACCATTACATAGCTTTAGAAATAGTTGGTTCTTGTGTATTCTTTTCATTTTATACATATGTGTGTGTGATCTTTGCTTTATTTTGGCTTGAAATCACTAAATGTTTATATTTGTCTTAAATAATTTATGGTGCATGTTTCTTATTAACATGTATAGTGTATTAAGTTTCAAATGGTGTGAATATGGTGTAATAAAATTTTAAGTAGTTTTATGATTTATTAAGTAATATTGTAAGGTCTTTGCATGTGTCCTTTACAAATACTTGTGTCATTCTGCATGTTTAAGCTAGAGCTGTTAATAATTTTATCTCTGTAATGAATTTTTATATTGTAATTATAATGGATTTCACTTCTAAGAGTTTGTAATTATGCTATGTATACAATATTTAGTCACTTCAGATTTGGAGCCCTGCCCTGACTTTAAAATGAAAGAAACTCTTTAGCATGGCCTTGTGTATTTTTCTTTGAAATCAGTTTAGCTATTCAACAATAATTATATTTATAAATTTTTTCATTGCAATGTAGAATTAAATTTTATACTCTGATCTTTTATTGCCATATAATGATTTGAAAATGTTTATTAATAAGTTTTGTGTAAATGTTTGACTTTATGAACATAAAATTATGTGTTAAAATAGTTGTAAATTTATTAAAATTGTGTGTGTTTTGTTTTATAAATGCTGTCTAAATTTCTGTGTGTCAATAAAATGTTAAAGTACTTCATGTATTTTGTGACTAAATATTTTTTCATTTTTAATATTTACCTTAATGTAAATCAAAACCCTGTAATCTTTTAATTTTATTGAAATTTAAGTATACTGGAAATATCATACAGCTAGTGCCATAATGTCTTTATTATACTATCCTCTTATGATCAAAGTGTTTAAAGTAAGAATGTATTTTAATAGTTTGTATATGTAAGAAAGACAAATTTTCCCTAATTCTGCCTCAGAATAATTCTTTTGTTCATATGAAAATATTTTATAGCAGTAGTATAATTTTACTTTATATTATAGAAGTACAAAATGTTATTCTAAATTATGTAATATTATTATTGAAAATAGTCATATGACTTTAGTTTCGTAATATAAGTCAATAAATATAATTGTTTGTATTAAAATGTACTAACATGTACTTTTCCCCTAATATTGTAGATTTTTCAAATCAAGTAATATCTTTACAGGTACATTTCTGGGTTGTTATTGCACAATGTGTTGGAAACATTTTAATTCACGCTCATCATTAAAAAGGCATTTAAAGAGTCATCAAGGAAATCGATGTTATAAATGTCAAAGTTGTTCATATACTACAGTTTCTACTGCTCATTTAAAGAGACATTTTCTTACACATACTCAGCAACGGCCTTTCCATTGCACGACATGTGGAAAATCATTCAATCATAAAGATACATTAAAAAACCATATGTATACCCATACTGGAGAGAAACCTTTTAGTTGCAATGTTTGTTCATCAAAATTTATCCGTTACACTCATTTAAAGCAGCATAAATTGAAGCATGAATGGATTTGATGTTATTTTTTCTCTCTGACTTGGATGATTTTTAGAAGTAAAATTATATGCTATGTATGAATATATGTGTAATACTTTTGAAATTTTGCATTTGTTAACATTATCATATGTATTAGATTTCTAAACCTTTCTACGTTTTTTTTTTTTTTTTTTTTTTTTTTTTTTTTAATTTTCATATATTTAAAGACTCTGTTAAATGATTTTTAAATTGTTGTTCAAATTTTTGAATTTGGTGTATATTTAGCTTTGGCTCAAATAAAATTTTTAAATGCTTTTGTGAGATTAAAATATATATCATTTAATAATAAACATATGGTACTAAATTTTTTAATTAAATAAGTATATTATTTTAAATTGATAGAAATATGTAATATAAATTCTGGAATTAAGAATAATTAAATTTATAGTTTTAAGCCTACATTTTCAAATATCTACGTTTGTATGCTTACATATCTTTTTCTAACTTTATTCGTCATTGAAATAAAATAAGATTGTAATTTAATTATAGTGTTTAATGTAAATTCATTAACAATTTTAAATAAACAGTTACCCAATTTAATGTTGCCTGGCCAAAATCATAGAAAAAGTGAATTTTGTACAGTTTAAGTGTATGCAGGTGTAACTTTTTTTCACTTTATGTGATTCATTTTGTAGTCTTATGTTTATTTATGTAACTATGTAAGAATTAATTTTGCCACTATCATGATATTTACATACTAAATTTCTTTATTGGTAATTTTCAAGGCACTTTGTATCAACACAAGCTAAAAAGAAAACTTTCAAAGTGAAATTTTAAGTAGTAAACCTTTAGAAGCCGGTATTTCTGAGGATTGTTATTAAAGAATAAATAATTGCCAAATTTTAAAATGTTCATCTAATGTATTTGGTTGTCATTTAAAAATAACACAGCTTTGGTAGCAAAAATATGATACAGTCAAAAGTCGTTAATCTGGACTCGTCGGGACTTCGGCGATTCCGAATTATAGATCATCAGTTTAAATCTGGTAAGATGGCATGCAGAAATTACAAAATTAAAAATATGAAACCGTAATTTATGAAATAAAGAACAATTATGATCTAAAGGGTATCAAAATTTACAAAAAGAAAAAGCTTAATATTTATTTGTTTACTTTATTAAACATTTCTTTCAATGTAAGTTGCTTCGTTTTCATGTGATAATACTTTCTCTTTAATTCTATTAAACAGACATAATTTCTTGTTTAGTTACAAAGTTCCGCTGTTCAAGTCCTATAATTGCTGTGTTGAGAATACCGACTAATTTGTCAATCGAAATGTTTTCGTTTTCAAGTACCTCTGGGTCACTTTCTTCACTGTCGGAAGCGAATTATAATGACGAGGAACTTGATTTAAATCATATCAAAGACGGAGTACATCGAAATGAAATACTACACTTAGTACGGAATTATAAACCAAATAAAATAAAAACGTCTGCCCTGAAGATAAGGATAGTGCTGAAAGATCAACTTACAATCCGCAGGGTGAAATTGATAAACAGATTTCGGATTTCAAAACATACTTTCGCTTTGTAGATACAAATTACATATTAGTAAATGTATATCGGAAATTCTATTTGACATAATCTTTTTAATCTATCATAATCTAATAATGACGTTTCTGCCCTCTTCTGCCGCAGAGCAGCGTAAAATTGATAAACAGATTTCGGATTTCAAAACATACTTTCGCTTTGTAGTAAATATATATTGGAAATTCTATTTGACATAATCGAAAGTTCAAGCTTACTTTTATAAAATTGCTCTAACAGTCTTCAAAAAATAATAAGCCGGATCCATTTCGAAGATTAAGGAACAACGCAATCTGCAACATTAACTGAATTAGATAACTTTAGCTTAGCGTATAACTCCGTTACACATTAAACGCGCATGTGCACAAACATATTTGCAGCCGTAATGGTCTTACGCGCTCTCGTAAACGCCTGTGCGCATGCGTGAATGCGACGCATGCGCAGAAAGTTTGTAGCTTTGAGGTCCGGATTATGGGTGTCCGAATTAACGACTTTTGACTGTATAATATAGGAGATGGTTAAAAAAATTGCACTGTTATTCAAAATATCTTCTACTGAAGCTACCCAGTTTTTCAAAACATGAAAAGGAATCAGGGTGGAAAATCTTTTGTTGCGAGCAGTGACTGTTTTCATCAGTTTGTACAATGCTGTGGTTTGACAGAATTGCAGTAACTTCATCTGTTAAAATAATATGATTGGTCCAATGTTCCAATATCTAGTGAGGCTATGAGTTCTGGTATTGAAGGCATTTTGTTTTCTATGTATTGCAAGGAGAGGGATGTTATTCTGTATTTGCTTTCAACTATAATGAAATGGGAATTTTCTGGGGAAAATGTATCCAAAAGTGCATTGTTGCTCTGAAAGAGATAATTTTCCTGAATGCAAAAAGTGCAGCTTGTGTCTAGAAACTGAACCACCCATACGTATTCCAAGGTTTTGATGATTGCTTTTGTATTTGTAGATTAGTCTAGCCATTATTTTAATTAAAAGCAGTATATTGTTGTTAAATACATCATTTTAGAGTTTTTTTTTTTTTTTTTTTTTTTTTAAATACCTGTATCATCTGTTTTCTTACACCTAGGGATATGGACCAGTCAAGACCTTTAAACTATGTTACAACTTGCAATCTTATACTAGTTTCAGCATAGCATAAGAAGACAGTGCTGAATTGAGAGTTACACTTTTAGATGGATTTCAGTACTTTGTATGTAATCACAGTTGTAGAAGAGTCATTGGGTGACAGTAAACAAAATCAAGAAAGAATACATAGAGTTTTTTTTTTTTTCCCCTCCTTTTTATCTTTGCAGAGCTATAATTTATACTGCTGCTGAAACCTCTTAGTTTGGAAGTTGATGCTGAACAAACTGTAAACCTGATATATCATGATTTGGAATTTTGGGTTTAATGATTTTTCAAAAGTTAATATTCTTGAAAAGAAACTAAAAGAATTTAATTTTAAAACTTCAGAAAAAAAAATTGCAGTTTTAAAATTAAATGTTAAATCTTATCAAAACGTGAAGAAAGATTCCCAATCGTACTAAAGTGAATGGACATTGAGTAACAACTGCCGGAAAAGGAATTAAAAATAGCCTTCCCTTTCATAAGAAATTTTTGAGAGAAAAAGGTTTCTGTAGATTACAGATTTCAATCCAGGACTTTTTCCAGTTTTCAGACACTTTTCGCAAGATTGTGTGGTTTTATAAATACAATATAAATTATGTGTTTGAGTAATAAGTAGATGTTAAATGTTTTTATAAGCTTTAATTATTAAGACACAATAACACGCCGAATAAATACTAATTCAGAAGACAAACAACAAAAATCAGCATTATATGTACAAAATTTCCACAGGACTAGTTTCGATGGTTTTACCGAACCACCATCCTCAGCTGCAAAACCGCAAATGAACAAGATAGGAAAAAATGATTAGATAAGATAAGAAAGCCTGGACAAGAATAAGCAAGTGGTGCCATCTGTTGGTGAAACCAGAACTAAAACATAAAAATTTCTTTAAAGGCCGAAGGCAAATTTGATTGGAATTAGGATCGTTAACTAGAACAGAAAGATTTTTATTGAATGTGAATGCCTCTAGAAAATCCATTCTCCAATGGAAGATGTTTTCTGAATAATTTTGGCAGCAGAAAAATTGAAAGTGTGATTTTCGGACCAACAATTTTCGCAACATTATACATAATTTTACTTCTAATAATGATTATATTTATTGATGAACTTTAATTTTTTATTAATGGCATATAGTAATTTTAAGTTTAAAAGAACTGTAATTCATTATTTAAAACAAAACATGAAAATGCAAACAGTGTACATACTATATATGACAAATCATGTATCTTCATCATCTGAACATGTATCTTAGTTCCTTTCAAGAAAATAATTTTGATAATAAATTTAAATTGTTTTCTGTTAATTTAGTATACGAAAAAAAAACTGATAACTCAAGCTAATTTAGAGGTCCAAGTTTTAAAATAATTAAATTATTATACAGTCATTGATCCTTCAAGTGGCACACTGTCAAAAAATATTCTTATAATTAGGAGTGATTATTGGTGATTTGTTATATTGTATATCTTCTTTTTTTAAACTTTTATCTATCTTGTATGTTTATTAATATAAGAACTCAGGAAAATCAGAGTTTAATCTGACGCTCTTTTCCAGTTTTAATTAAATTTTTAGAAATATTTTAAAATCCCCCCCTTTTTATTGTTATTTATTTATTTATTTACCCTTTTTTATTGTTATTTACTTATTTATTTACGCTGTAGGTTTCGGAGTGTTTGTCTTTTGCTATTCTGAGAAACATTAACTAAGCATTTGTTAGATTTTTTTTTTCCCCTGGTCCTTTCTTTCATCCATTCTTTACTTTTTCATGATGGAAGAATGACCTATATATTTAACTTGTAGAAAAGAAAATATGCTTTTGTGAACTCAGAGATGCAAACAAATTTGATTCAGTAGATAAATGTGATCATAATATGTAGTTTTGCTGATAAAATGTATGTCATCAGGTGAGATTAAAAAATTATCTAAAATTTTTTATTTATTAAATCTAAAAATGTTTTTCCCCCTCACTCTGTTAAACAGGCAGAAGAATTGCATAATTATAAGAATGATACACTTTTTAAGAAACATTCCATAGGCATTAGAAGATGAATACAGTAAAAGTTCTTTGTGTTTCTCTCAAGGGAAAAATTATTCGTGTACAAGATGAGAAAAAATAATTTAGAAATTTATTGGTCTTTGGGTGGGCATTGTAATTGGAAGTACACACAGTGTTAATGAAATAAAGTCTTCTATAAGAACCTTTGCTAACATTCTGTATCTGAATGTGGGTGATTCTGATTTCATTCATGAAAATAATGCAATATAAAAGTGAATGTGTAAAGTTCACTTGTTAAAAAAGTGTGTTTGAAATTAATAAATTGAAAATGAATATGACTGTATAAAGTTAAGGTGTTAAAACAGTGTGTCTGAAATTAATTTTTTTGCAATGAGAATTTTCTTTTAAAACAGCTATATCTGATTTATTTTAGAACATTCTGTAGATTGTCCTATTTATATAAATCTCAAAGTTTAAATAGGTGTTAATTATTTGAAGACATTCTCTATTTTTTTTTTTTTTTTAATTTTATTTTAAATGGTAATCATTTAAAGTGTGTTTTTTCTAATAGTCAGAATATGTATGTTTTGAATGCATGCGTAATCTTTTAAAATTCATATTAGGTCCTGTTGTCTGTGGTTCATATTAGTTGTAATTTTTTCGTACTTATGCAACCACTTATTAAGTATATAATTAAAAATTTCTATTTAATACTTCATAGCTGCCATTTGGACAAAGAAAAATTAAGGTAATAAAATATAAGTTTAATAGCTTGTAAAACTTATTAATGTAGGTTATATCTAAGTAAATAACATAGTTAGGTATTCGTAGATTTTTTTAATTCTTTTTATCATAAACCAGATCATAATTAATAATGAATTATCTGCTTTTAATTTGAATGTATTACTTTAGTTTAATAAAAAAGTCGTGCTTTGTATAACATTTTATTGCTAGAGTATGTTTTTCTTAATTTCTGTTTGAATATTTTGTTGCTATTCTAAATATTTTATATATTGACTGCTATGCTATGAAATATTAATTAAATATATAGTGTAATAGGTATTTACTGTTATGTTTTGTTTTAATAATGATACTTTGTAGTATTCTATTTATAAAAACTGAATCTTTATTTTACTTTTTTAGATTCTCTTGGTGATTACATGAACAAGTTCTTTCAGAACTCGCTTTCTTCACATCTTATGCTTTTTGATTACTTCAACAATGATAAAGGAGACCACAAAAGTTCTCGTTTTAGTTGTCCTATCTGCTCATATAGCACAAACCGTTTTCATCAAATGAAGCTTCATGCAGTTAAACACAGTGGTATTCGCCCTTACACTTGTGATACATGCGGAAAATCCTTCACCAAGAAGTGGCACCATAAAATTCATGTAAGACTTCATACTGGAGAAAAACCATATATGTGTAACTTGTGCTCATCAAGATTTTCTGATCCAAGTGCATTTCGGAGACACCAGGCTGTTCATAAAGTAAATCGACTTGACCATAAAGTAAATGAACTATGATATTTTTTAATCAGTCATGTTTTTACTTGTATTGAAAAAAGTTTTACTTTGTATTTTGAAATACAAAAATGTTTTTACAATGTTATGTGATTAAGTATCTTTTTATGTTAACTTTGCAATATTTTGATAGTAACTTTATTATTATTGCTTGAATAATCTTGAATTTATTAATTATATAATTAATTTGTGTTTAATAATTCATTATTGCTGTTTGTGCCGAAGTATTACACGGGATTTTATAATCTGTATGTGATTTTTTTTAGCTAACTATTGACTTAGTTATGTAAAGGAAGTTAAAAAAATTAGTTTTAATTAGGCTCTTTAGGCTTAGATTAAAAAAAATAATAAAAAAAAATCTTAGTGTTATTCAAGAGAAAGTAATTTTGAGGGCATGATGTATTGCTTTTGTACTTAATCTATTTTTCTGTATAATATAAAGAAATATAGGATTTTAAAATAATTGGAGTATTTCAATATAAAATGTTATAATTGTTTAATATCAAATTATTTCCAACTGCAGGATTTTTTTTTATTATTAATGGTAGTTAAAATACCTAAATTAGTAAATGATTTAGTTGTCATTTTAAATTATCAACATTTTATGATAAATTTCTCACAATCAAAATTCCTGCAGCTTCCTTTTTTTTTAGCTTTATAATTATTGCATTTGATAATCAAGTAAAGCAGCTGTTGAAAATTATGCAACAAGAATGTACATTTTCAGTGGAAAGCATTTCACTTCAATTTGTGCATTATTTGTATTTAGTTTTATTGTATGTTATGAGAAGAATGTTAATGTTTTTTGTATGTCAGGTGATACATAAGCATTTAAAGTGAATACGAATGGTGCACAGATGAATGAGAATGTTAAGATTCTCATAGAAATATGCTTAATTTTATGTATAAAACTTGTTGTATAAATTTTTATTTTCCAAGATACATATTTTTTCAGCAGTAATAGCCTGACTGAAATGTAAATTTACTGTAGGGATTTCAGTTGGAAGTTATATTTTTTTTTTTATAAAACTAGAGCGTAGATTCAAAATTCCATCATAAAATTAACTCTCCTTGTCTTATTGCATTCTTGTTCCCATGTTTAAATTTAATAGCATTTTTCTAGCCCTCTTAGTTTGGCATATCTGATAGCATGCCACATATATGAAAGGCTTTATTTTCATATATCATTATGTATAAGAATTTGAATGCTGAAACCTTCTGTGTTAAATTGCTTTCTGTATTCATAATTGTTTTTTAATTTGTAAAACTTTTTCTAGCATGTTTTCTTTTTCTGCAATTATGTTTTGTCTTTTTGCATTTGATATTTAATTTATTGGCTTAAAAATTCTAAATGTTTTTAGATGCAATTATGAATGTTTTTTTTTAAACTTTTATGTAAAATTTAAACTAATGAATGTTAAACACACAATAAAAATATTTTTGTTTCCCTTTTCCAGATACTGTTGCTTTAGTTAAATTCAGAATAATATATATAGTTTGTATTTTGTGTCATGGGCAATAAATAAAATTTAATTCTAAAATAAACACATATCTTTTCAGTAAACAGAATTCAATTTGAAAAATAATACATGATTCAAATAAAGTTTCATCCAACAGAAAGAGTTAGTTCGTAAAGTTAAATTTTTTAAAATATGCAAACATTTTGACCACTTTTGTTTTTAATATCCAATTGCTGCATAATTGTACTTAATAAAAATTCATCTGTTAGAAAATTTTATATCACAAATAAAAGCACAGAACATTTTTAGTAACCATATTCCAAAATAGTTACCAAAATTATTTTCATATGCCTTTTTTAAAAAGGAATTCCTTTGTAATGTATAATAATTTAATCGTGTAGATTCAAAAAAAAATCCTGTTATGCATTGTCCAAAGATTACTGTCCAATTGCTGTCCTGTTGTAGTTGCTTTGATAGCTATATTGCAAATATAAATTAATTCAAATATTTCTGTTGACTCAGGATTACCTTGAAGACCTTAACTCTACTTCAAAATTGCTATGTTTTCATCTCTGTATGCACTTAAGTTTGCCAGAAGCTTTAAACTTAACAGATATAGTTTGTTTACATGTTTGTTTAATGGCCTTTTGATGTAAAAATATTCTTAACTTGAAATCTTTATAAATGTTTTGGTCTTTTATGTTAATAATTTTACTCTACCATGTATCATCCACACAACTTGGCGGTTGTTGCGATTGCATGAAAGGTAAGATCTGTGGTTTAATTTGGCATGAAATCTTGCAAATAGTATTTCTTAGAACATTATCATTCACCCAAGGTGTGAAGTCTTTAATATAACACTCAAATTTAATCAGTCTATATTGCTGTAAAATTTATCCATTTCAAAGCCATATAAGCATTCTAGTGATTTAAACTTTTTTTAAAAAAACCCTTTTTTAAAAAAAAATTAATGTGAAGAAATTATCAACTAAGATTTTAATTAATTTAAATTATATGCAAACCTACCTTAGTAATTGTCATGCTTATTAATTTTCCATAAAGTTTTTAATTCCTTTTCCCTTTTATATTTAAATAAAAATTTTATATAGCTATTGGAAACTGGTCGTTTTGTCTTTTTTTTTTTTTTTTTTTTTTTTTCCCGTAACCTATCTGTATTATAAGATCATTTTTCTAATATAGTCAAAGTTATAAATATGGATGTAATGATATATATCACTGTAGCATTATCTAAGTGATCATAATGAGTTTACATATTCTCATAAAGATTCACTCATGGATGTAGCAAGTAAGGATTATACTGTGGAATCTTTTCCCCCCCCCCACTTGATGTGTGTATAACTAAATTCATTTGAATTAGTTCCAAAGGTTAAATTTATTTTTGCTTTTGTACATTTTCAAAAATTGTTTAAATGACAACATTGTATTGCTTTGTTGCCTAAGAGTGGTATATGATTTAAAGCTAAGTAATAGAAAAGGGAAATAGCTGTCTAATATATACAACATGCGTAAGTGTGTGTGTGTGTGTGTATATATATATATATATATGTTACATAAATATAGCAGGAATATAAATGCTGTTGACACACCTGAGGAGCATATGATTATGACAACGATCTAATGATCTCTGAAATAATCTCAAATCAGGAAAACTTTTGTATATGAACTGAATGTGGGAGTTATCCAGTTAAAGAGGCATTGCATTGTTACAATAAGAACTGACTTTGAATATCATTTATTTTGAGTAGTACTTCTATATAATCTCATATTACTTGTGTGTGCAGAAATCACAGTAAACCTGTGCTGTAGCCAACTCGATACTTCTTCAGTCATTGTATTTGCTGTCCTGTTGTAGTTGCTTTGATAGCTATATTGCAAATATAAGTTAATTCAAATATTTCTGTTGACTCAGGATTACCTTGAAGACCTTAACTCCTACTTCAAAATTGCTATGTTTTTCATCTCTGTATGCACTTAAGTTTGCCAGAAGCTTTTAAACTTAACAGATATAGTTTGTTACATGTTTGTTTAATGGCCTTTTTGATGTAAAAATATTCTTAACTGAAATCTTTATAAAATGTTTTGGTCTTTTATGTTAATAATATTACTCTACCATGTATCATCCACACAACTTGGCAGGTGTTGCGATTGCATGAAAGGTAAGATCTGTGGTTTAATTTGCATGAAATCTTGCAAATAGCTATTTCTTAGAACATTATCATTCACCCAAGGTGTGAAGTCTTTAATATAACACTCAAATTTAATCAGTCTATATTGCTGTAAAATTTATCCATTTCAAAGCCATATAAGCATTCTAGTGATTTAAACTTTAATTTTAAATAATGTAGATAACATATTAATTTAATGTATCCTATTAATAAATTCTGTAAACATGGATGCATTACTGTTATTAGATATTTCTAATGTCCTGTAATTTGTTCCGCAGTACAGAAAGGATGATTTGGTTTGCAAGCCTTCCCCATTCCTCATTATTTGTTTTTATAAAAATATGTATTATATTTGAGATAAAGAATTTGTTGAATCATAGATATGTATAATTTGAAATTATATGCTTGAATATTGTTTTCATTGTTAATCACTAAAAGTTTAATATGTTTTAATTGAATAATTCAGATGGTTTTATGTATCTGCTTTTGACAAGTGAAATGTTGTAGTTTTCTGTTATAAAGCATGAAAATATAAATGGTACTACAGTATTCTAAAAATCATGTTGCCATTTTATGATCATGTACTGAATTTTTAGAAAATTACCCCAAAAAATTACTTAAAATGTGATTTGCTTAGTTATTTTATTATGTTAAAAATTCTTCTTAAGCAAATAGTCTAATACATACAACATGTGTACATTATTACTGTATTGCTATAATGATTTATCCCTTTTAGTTTTTGTATGCAGACTGGTTGGTTTGATTTCAGTAATTTATTTCTATTCTGTGTGATGTATTTTCTTTTGATTATGGGATATGTTTTAGGTGTGTGTTCATTTTAAAATGTCTTATTATATCAGATAGTTGATTTTTCCCCTAAAATAATAAAATATTTAATAGAATATTGTTTTTTGATTTATTCCACTTTAAAAAGCAATGAAAAAATTTTCTAATTTTTTTAATGCTGATCGTTTTATTTTGGTATAGTGTAGTTAGTAAACTTATTACTTACCATGTATATATTGCAATGCAGTATGCAATCAATCATCATTTTTACAATAAAAATAAATATTAATTTTAAGACATAATTCATTTTTAATTTCAAGTTAAAGATTTAAATTTATTGAAGTAAATGTATGGCTACCATTTGTACACTTTTTGAGTTTTAGCTTCAGTTGTATATAATACTTTTCCAATAAGCTTGAGATAATTGCATAAGAATTAGTCTTCTATTTTCCAGCTGTGAATCTTTTTTATTTAATACTTTTGTTGGCTTTGAAGCTTATCATAATTTTGAAATTGTGCCAAATCACAATTTTTATTACCTAAAGTTTTTTGTGATAGGAAATGTATTTTCTTTAAAGTATGGGTAATTATTTAATTATGATGTAAAATACTCATATGAGGTATAGGAATAATGGAAAGTATGATCTATGCATAGTAAAATTGCTGCTAATTCATAAAGTTGTAACATTTTAGTATTATGAGTCACACTGCTGGGGCTGTAAAATATGATCCTTTAGTTTTGATTCTGCTGTAACAGATCAAGAATGTAGCAATTTGAGATCAAAACGAATGTCTGTGTTGTCGTTTCACTTACATATCTAATTTTCTTATATTAAGATTAAAAAAGAAATTGCATGAATTTGCTTAATTCATGAGTTGTCATTTGCTAGACCTAATTCTGAAAGACCATTCATAGCTTTGAAAAAACTTATGAAAATGTGAATAATTAAAGAATAATTAATATATATATATATATATATAATATATATATATTTTTAAATTTCTGAAAAGTACCAATTCTTAACTCATTCAATGAACATTTAAATCAGTTTGAAATGCCATTCTACTGATAACATGCAGCATTCATAATATATCTCGCTTTATCTTTAAAAAAATTTGTTTTCTACTGTAAGCTTCTGCTCTTGAGACTGGCCAGTGTATGATTGGTTGATCATTGAAAGGTCTATAATCCGTTTAGTTTCTGTTACTAATTTTGTTAAAAAGCTTGAAAGATCAGAGCCTGATTATCTTTCTAGTCTCTCTTTTTTTTTTTTTTTTTTTTTTTTTTTTTACTGTTGTTATGTTGCAAGTTTTAATACTGTTGTTATGTTGCATAATTCTCTTTTTTTATAAAAAGGTAGGCTTGATTCTTTCCTAAATTTCCATTATTAGAAAAACACTGACATTTAATTTTTTGTTCTATATGTTGAACAATATTTTATAAGAAAAATTAATTCTAATGTTCATTCTGCACTGAACTTATCCATAATAATAATAATAATAGATTAAATAAGTGGTGTACTTTTCATTATATTGAGGTTATATTTAGCATCATCCCTTCCATAAATCAAGGTTGTAATTACTGTCATGAAGATGCATTCTTACTTGCAACTCTTTTATATATATATATATTTCAAAATGTCAAGAAACCAGTGCTTAATAATTTTGGTAGAAGGCATTCAGTGTGAAGAAAAAATATTTTATTAAAGCTATTTTTGGTCTATCCCTTTAAAAGGAATTTTCTTTCAGTTTCTATTATTTCATGTTAACTGTTTGCATTATGAAGAACACTGAGTGTTAGTATGTATAATGCTCTTTTAATCTTCTGATGTAACAGAAACTCATGTTTAAAAGATTGTGATTTAAAAAGAAAAGTATATAGAGTATCAAAAAATGAGCTTTTTGCTCATTATGTCCTTTTCCTTATGTTGAAGAGTTTGTTAATACCTCTGTGTATTCCTTTTATAAGCTTAAGAGGAATTTTATGTATAATGAAATATTGTATTTTCTTTAATGAAGAGTGAATTGTTAAAGTGAATTTATACAAATTCTGTTTGTGGGGGAATTTGAGATTAAATTGCTCAAATTATGTTTTTTTTATTCCAAGTTTTTTATTTATTATTTTTTATGTATAATGCAAGAGAATAAATTTCCTTAAAAACTTTAACAATGCATAAAAAAGCAAAATTTTTTCATACTGAAATATCACTTACACTTTAAGTATTGTTAGGAAGGGTATTTGTTTGTACAAGAGAAAAAAAATTATGGTTTTCAAACTTGTGGTGGTAGTCCATAAATTGTGCAAAGAAATTAATACTTGATGCATTCTCCTTACTTCATTCATTTGTAAAATTATGCATTTTTTGTAGCAGTATTAACACTTATACCAAGAAAAGTCTTATTAGTTATGTTTTTCAATTATCAAAAGATTTATGCAAATTTTTGTCATAGAAAAATTTGAAGAATCTGGTCATTTGATGGATCATTCATAAGAGCAAGACCACTAAAGCCTCAGGCATGTTACAGAAGATCATCAAAATATCATGCTTTGGCATTCAAATTAGCAAACTAGCTGTGCTTCTGAAATAGCGAGGATATCTGGACATTCTTCAGCGCCTGTGTGCTACATATATCCTTCATACTATCTTATTTTACTCCTGTAGATTTTAGACATTTTGCTTGTCTTTGCATAAGTATTCAGCGCAGGAGGAACATTTGTAATGCAAATTTTGTCAAAAATTGTAGTGAAATTGGAGTAATGGTTTAATGTGTTCTGGACAAACTGGAGAAAATCCAACCTTTCAATTAGATGGAGATAACATATGCAGTTGTTGCATATGGGCATTTGCTAATTCGCATTTCATTTACCTTAAATGAGAAATTTGTATGTCTTCTTCTCTGTGAGTGTTCTTTATAAAGATTTGTCTGAGAATTGGCAGGAAGATATGCATAGCATTATTTGATAGCTGCGTATGGAAGTCATACAATCTTTACCTAAACAAAATTTGACCTGTAGTCACATATATGCTGAATAGAGCTCCAACTTGCATCATATTAAAAGGTATATTTTGTGGGTAGTTTATATTTTCATAAATAAATAAATAGTCATCAAGACAATCAAAGATAGGTAATTTTTCAAGCATGCATTGCTTGAAAGGGTTGTTAATTAAATTTTAAAAAGGCAGTTAATTATAAATAAACAGTTTTTCTGCCAATTTTTGATTCTCCCCTCCCCTCCAGTTTTACAATTATGTGGTATTTTCCCCCCTGCACAGTGTCATATTATTTTGATACCTACAAGCTCAAGAAAAAATGTCATAATATTGTAAATATTCTAAACTAAGACATAAATACTCTAAACCTAAATTGTGTGATTCTTTTGGTGAGTTTAAAGCATTACTGTTAATTTAGGCAAAACATACTAGGATTGTTTGACTAAGCTCTGTGTTGTATTTGAATGAGAATGACCCATGAACTGAAATCAAAAAATCTTGTCACTCTCTTTCTGTATTACCAAGCTTCTGAGAAGACTTTTAGCTAGACAGAATTTGAATTCCTCTGCATGGTAAAAAAACAATGCTACCACAAATGTCTGAGCTTATCAGGCAGATAAATACAACAATATGAAATCAGTCTGTTTCCACTAACCACTAGCCAGGGTGCTTAAGTATGTCTCTAAATAATAAAACATTTTTCATCATAGTACAGTGAGGATATATTTGTCTAAAATATATTTGCTGTCGGTGTATCCCAAACTGTAACATTAAGCTAACTGTATCAAAAATATCAGTATATTGTAGCATTGTTCAGATTTATTAAATATTTTACACTTCTGCTCAGTAATGAAGCATGCTAGATTTTATGTATCTATACTATTGTTGTTATTTATTTATTCTTCTGAAAATCTTTATACCTCCCCTTTTAAGAATGACCAAAAATGATGCATGAAATATAGCAATAATGGAATAAAATGTTATTAATTTAATTTTGTTAGATATCTTTTTATCTGTTTTTGCTTAATGTTGTATTAATGTTTCTTTAATGTGCGTATAATAATTTTTATGTAGACTTAAAATATAGACTTCATAGGGTTGTTTTAACTGTATAAAAACCTTTTATGTACATAATTTTAATTAAATGTATAATCAAAACTGAATTAGTTTCATGTTTAGCATTTTTATCCTATAGTGCCTTTTTTTTTCTTCAACATTATGGAAGATTCATATTTAAAACAGAATTACATTTAATGGATTCCACTTTATTTAATTTTTTTTTTTTTTTTTTTTTTTTTTTTTGCGTGTGATTAAGATAAATAAATATATCCATGGCCTTTCATAGACATCAGCATGCTTTGAATTTCTTGCACTTTGAAGGAATTAATTCTAATGTATAAGTATTCTGTCATTTATGTAACATGCTTAAAAAATTGAAACTTTGTTGGAAACTGTTTAATTTTATATAACGGAATATGGTTTCAAGTGTAAGAAATTACTTAAACATTTTAAAACTCTTTTTTTTTTTTTTTTCTGTATATTATATTTTGTTATAATTCAGGAAAATTTCTGTAATGACTGTTCATGAAATTCAAAATGTATAAAAAAGTTTTGCATTAAATTTCTTGCATCTGTAATTTTTTATTTTAATTTTGCATTGTATTTAAATAATCTATACTTGTGAAAAATTAGTTAACATACATATTTTATGTCTTAAATTTTTAAGAAGAGTAACCACTCATGATGTTATTAATGTAAGTACTGCTTTTTAATGGTTAATTTTCTTTTATTTATTAGTTTAAAATATTTTTGTAGTTTTCTTTAAAATTTTCTGTTTAAATGTAGCAAATATATAAACGTCTTTTTGAACGTCTGCTTACTTTACTTTTCTTTGTACAGGTTGGCTTCCTTAACTAATTAAAAAAGTAAAATAATCATTTTTATTGATGTTTTTCATAGTTTAATAAAAAGGATTTTGTATGAGTTTAAGTCTAAAAATTGAATTATATTAGAAAAAAATCATGCATTTCTCTACTAATGTTAGATATTATATTTTGCGCATATATTTAGCTATGCTTCTGTTATTGAAATTTACTTTAGTGTTTATTGCATTTTCTTTTTAACTTTACAGTTTTATTATTTAAATCACTAGAGATATTTGTTTGTGTGATATTGTGTGCATTCATAATTATTAACATTAGTACTAGTTTGTTGCCATTTTAATACTTATTTATTTCTAGTTTTTTGTACTTAAAACTTTAGCTTTTCAGTAGATTAATTAAATATGTTTTACATTCTTAGAAACTTTTAAAACTGCATGTAGTGTATGAAAAATCCTTTAAGTTATATATATAAATTTATCTGCTTTTATAATGATCAGTTCTATTTAAAAAATAAAGAATATGTATTTTTTGCATTTGGCTTTTACCCTTATTTTTGTCATGTTATAAAATTGTAAAACAATATTTCGTTATATAATTTTTTTACTTAAATGCGTAAAATATTACAAAATCTTCGTATTTTTATCACTGTATTTTTTGCTTTTACTTATAGTGACTCAGCTGTGTTTTTTCATGGATACTCCAAAAAGAGATTACCGTAATTTGCGTTACAAATGCCAGAACTGCTTTTATGCCACTAACCGTCCATCTCATTTGAAGAGGCATTATTTGACACACACACAAGAACGTCCTTTCTCCTGTACGGTCTGTGGAAAGTCTTTCAATCAGAAAGTTAGTTTACAAGAACATTCACGTATTCACACTGGAGAGAAACCATTTCAGTGTGAATATTGCTCTGTTCGCTTTACTCAGAGATCTAGTTTAAAAAATCATAGGCGTTTGCACTTCAAAAATAGTATAACTTATTAAAATTTTATAATAAATGAATTAGTTGAAGCTGTTTATGTATCTGTCATTTTTATGCATATAAATTACTGTTGGATACTGAATTACTATGTATATGTAACTATGGATCAATATGACTTAATTACTAAAATGTATCATATGATCTACTGTTGACAATAATTTAATTTATATTTTAAAGAATTAAATATTTATATATTGAATTGTGTAAAAGTTAAATAATTTCATTAAATAGTTTTGTGTAGAATGTTTTGATTACTATTTTGAAAAAAGAAATGTCAGTGTAAATTAATAGATTCAAGTCATTATCATATATATTGGCTGCATAATAGTAATACAATACTCATGGAATTTTTGAAAATTGTATTAAATACGCATTTTAATTTTTATTGAATTTGATTTGACCCATGTTATATCTTTAATATGTGTGTTTCTAATTTGATTTTTGCTTGCAATTAAAAGGAGAAAATGTGTGATAAGATAGATCAAACTTATTTTATAGTTAAGTTTAGCTAACTACATAATTTATATGTTGCATTTATAACTCTTGATTAATTGCATTCGGTTATCAGCAGTGGAAGCAATTTATTATATCTTTGGTATGTATTTTAATATTCCTTCAACAGTATTGAGTTACATGATTAATAATCATGTCAAATGAAGTATTTATAAAAGGGGAGGTGGGATTTATGGCTTTACTGATGTGTCATCATCATAACTGTATAAAGCATAAAGTGTTACTTGTATTACATTTCTATCTTAAAATAAATTTACTTGGGAAGGAGCATTCCTAATATTATATGTAGTTTTTCATGTTAATGTGAAATAAAAATTTTAATTTATGTTAGAAAAATAAATTTGCAAAATATGTACTACATTTTAATTCTTATTGACTTTAAATTAGGATTTATCCTATTATAAATAATTAAGTTTTTTGCACTTTTTATTTAATTGAAAATAATGATCACTTCCCGCATCTCATTGTTTACCTTCAGAGCCAAAACATAAAATAACAATTTGTCTTACCAGCTGCTGTATCAATAACCATTTTTAATGTGATTGTCCTTTTGTAGCAATATGTTTAAATGTAAAAGTACATGTTCTGTAAATAATCTGATTCAATTAACATTTCATTTCATCAGAAACAGAAAAGACTCATTTGAATTTCAAAAGTTCACATATGGGCTCAGAACTATATCTGCAACCTTAACATACAAAGCAGCATTTTAACTAATCCTGGTATTCAACTGATTCTTCTATCTGGAGATCATATGCAATAAATACATATTTTTCTGTTTAATTGCTATCTCAGAAAGCTTTATTTCCTTTGTTGTTGAATCCTTTTGCTGTTTTAATCAGATCTGGTGATTCTAAAAACTTCTATTAAATTTTGTATACGTTAAATTATGAATTTACTTAGCTGTCTTGATCCTTTTATAATATGCATGTTTATTTCTCTCAATTTTGCCTACAACAGTAAAACCCCTTTGAAAAGTTTGCCTTGGGACTGTGGGGAAGATGCTCTGTTATTCAAAGTGGCCTGTTATTCAGAATTGTAAGAATAGACATTTTTAGTACAGCAAATTTTTAAATTAAAGGTATAGGAATTATGAATAATAATTATCAATAAACATCAAAAATATGTTTAAAGCACTTATGTAAATGAACAATATGAAGTAACAGTTAGTAAAGCAATGCAAAGAAAAGTAAGTTAACTTATTTTCGACTCTGGAATAACTATTCATAGTTCTGCATTTAAATTAACTTAAATGTGTGTGATCTTCTGATGTTGTTTCTTCAGTATGTTTTTTAGTAATATCCTAAACATCTTCTTGTACATGGGCATTAAGAGCATGTCAGAAGTGCAGTTCTGAAAATGAAAAGTATTTTGAAATATCCTTGAAAGTCAGTTAATCCTAATTCAGTTTTGTCATTAATTATTTTCGTTGTTAATGTTTTCCTTTATCCAGTAGGAGGGAGGAAATCTAAAGATACTTGAATGGACTCACCCATTATTCATACCTACCTTATTATACTTCATAAGTTATAATAAATTTTCAAAACATTGATGAATATTTTACAGGAAATGCTGTGTTGTACTTAAAAAGTAATTTATTTCTATGTATTAAACAATGTTATGGAATATTGTTTGCTTTTGGGAATTTTTTCCTAAAATAGATTTCATTAACATTTAACTAATTTTTAATTAACATTTACATTTAACTAAATTTTTAACATTTTCATTAACATTTAACTAAATTTCTGTGATGGAAATTGATTCATATTGACTTTACACATGGGGACAATCATAAAAATGCCAAAGAAGTTGACCGTTTGACAGAATTTGAAGCAGCATCAAACTGTCGCTGTTTGACAGTCATTTCCGCCACCATTTACTGTGCCTTTTGAAATTTTGACTACATTTTCCAATTTCTGTTGTATTTGCTTCTTAATACTGTAATATCCCGAAGTTACGTGATAGGCGAGACCCGTCAAAATGCATTTAAGTCCAGGTTTAACTTTACCCTTTTCTTAATTTATTTAAATAGGATCAACGGCGAAATTAAAGTATGCATCAAAAAATATAGTTACATATCCGTACAAAATGGAATTAAAATAAATGTGCTACATAAAGAAGAGTTATTTCATGGCCAATGACTTCATGAAATTTAAACTTTTATTCCAATTCAGCTTAGAATTGTAAAGCTGGAAAAAAGAAAATATATCCAATACTGATCTTTGCTTTTTCTGTACCAAAGTATAAAATGGTATAATGTAATAATATAAAACGGTCTAGTCTGTGTTATCTGTAACTACAATTATAACTTATATGCAATTTTTGAAGTGGTATATGGAACTTTACACTGGGTTCATACAGTCCTTAATTTTGCTCATCTGACCCCCCTCCCCCCCAAAAAAAGTCTTCTGGCTTTTTACTCATTGCAGCATTGGTAGAAATAATTTTTCTTTTGGGTTCTGCATCTTGCAAGATTTAGAAGAATTTGAAGGCAAGACCTGCAGTTCCAGAAAAATGTCATAATGGATACAACTAAAAAATGTAAAAATTAGCATAACATTTTATTTCTTACAGCTGTTTAAATTCAAAATAATGCAAAATAATTTATCACTTCAGGTGCTTGAGCAGCTTACTTGAACTTTACAGTATATTAACTGGGTTTTCAACTCTCCGACACTTAACTGGGTC